GACGCAGCCGATAGCCGCACATACTGGTGAATAGAAGGAGGAGAAGGAAGAGGCGAAACAGAGGTCGATGCGGTGTGGTCGGAGTCGTCGATGGGCCCTCCACCGCTCCCTGCGGTGGGCCTGCAGTGCCCATGGGGGGAGCGACGCGCCAGGACCTCTGATGGGGAACTGCGCTGTCACTTGCCAAGGGCCACTGCGTGGCACAACAAATGTGACCAAGGCCTCCAAACATGAGATGGCCCATCGCACTGCAGCGTACCGAGGCGGGCCACACTTGGGCGGGGGCGCAGCCAGGGCTGCGCAAGCTAGTGAATGGCAACGTAAGCTGCAGCGCTGGAGGTGGGCCTCTGGCCAACAATCACAGCCATCCAAAGTGGGTGCCCCGGAGGGGGGGGCAAAGACGGTCCCCAGCCCCGCGGGTAGCCAGGTCTCAGGGGACACGGGGGGGTGGACTATTTCAGCCGCCGTCCCCCCGTCCAGGATGGATCCACGAGACCAGCGCGGGCTGTCTAGTACGCAGCGCCTGGATATTGGTGCTTTTGTTTTTTGTTTGGGACTTCCCACGCGCGCGAGCTCCCGGCGAGCCCCCGCGAACGGCTAACGAGGCAACCGCACTGCCGCCTCCGCACTCCTTGCCGGAGCGCCCGCTGTGCACGGCGCGCGCACTGATTATTCAGCAAGAACAATCACACAGCAACGCAGAATTATCAAGATAATTCACGCACAGGCAAGACATGCACACACTATTCATGAATAGTAGCTGCACTGCCCTGCCCCCCTCACTCGTCCAGGCTCCTGTTGGCCTTCGGATGGAGGCCTCGAAGGATGCGGTCCGCTCTCTGGCGTCGCACCCTGTCGGCCCTGCTGGGGTTGGCGGGCCAGCCTGGGCTGGCCCTCTGGCCAGGCCCTCCATCCGCCGCCTGGCGTGGGCCCCGCACGCTGTGCAGACCATGTAGCCGTACACCTCGCGGACCACGTGGAGCTTTTCGCACGCGCCGAGGGCCCCCGCTCGGGCCGCAGGGTTCGGCGGCGCCCTCGGCCTGGCTGCAGGCGCGGGCCCGCCTGCCTCGGCGGCGGCCTCTGCCTCCACTGGCCGCGCAGGCGGCTCCTCGGCCACGCTGGAGCGGGACCCCCCGTCGCCAATGTCGGCCTCGCCCTGGGGCTCCTCACGCTTTTCTCACGCCTTCTGCGGCCCAGGGGCAGGGGGGCGACGCGGCGTCCGGGCGCCCCCTCGAGCGCGGGAGACTGGCCCGAGGGGGCCAGGCCCGCAGATGGCTTGAGCCAGCTTGAGCCAGGCTACGGAAACGGTGGGGATATGCGAAGCGTCAAGAATAATCTAAGAAGTGGTATGGAGAAGAAGTGCCGGCTGGGAAGCGCCGAGGCGAGGGAGTAGCACGCTGACGGGCTACAAACGGCGGCGCGTCACTGATGCTGCTCTCCCCTCCCAGGCCTTGCCGTCCTTGCCCTTGCCCTTGCCCTTGCCCTTGCCTCGGCCCGCGGAGCAAGCGGTTCGCGAGGCTCGAGGGCCGAGGGCATGCAGGATATCGAGAGCGATCGAGAACATCGAGGATCTGAAACATCGGATGTTGAGACTCCAGGATTACTCAGAATCCAGGGGCGAGAAGGGAGGTGATGGGAAGGATCGGAAGGGGAGGGGAGGGGATAGAGTAAGGAAGGAGAGACGGGAAGGGACGCCTTCTCCTCCTCCTCCTCTCCTCCTCTCCTCCTCCCCTCCTCCTCTCCTCCTCCCCCCCCTTAAACATTACCTCGTCCTCCTCGTTCTCTTCCTCAAGGGCGATGAGAGGAGTGTTGGATGTGGAACGATCGAGAAAGGAGGGATGAGCGGATAGCTGAGCACTCAAAGGCCGAGCCGGACGCCTTGAGAAGAGCAAAAGGTGCAGTGAGTAGGCGAAGGGGGGGGTGATATTTCAAAGGAATTGCGGGAAGTGAAACGCGCCGAATATTGTGGGGCAGAGGGTAGACGAAGGGAGAGGAGGAGTGATGCAGAGGAAAGAGGTAAAGCAGCACATGTGGAGGGTGAGCAAAGCGTAGGGGCAAGGGCACGAATAATTGGTACACGCACGCGTGGGTGGATGCGAAGAGCGATCTCCCTCCCCTTGTCCCTTGATTCCTCCCTCCCTTCCCATGATCTTAATTCGGGGTTACGCCGATTACACGTTGCAGGTAACCAAGGTCTACCCCCGACTGGGGGTACGATCCAAGACGAAGAGGGCATGTATCGAGGTTCTGGGATCAATCTTAAAGCCTCTGTTGGTGTGGCTGTTGTTGATGATGTTGATGCTGTTGATGTGGTTGCTATTACTATCATTGTTGATGCTGTTCTTGTTGTTGAACTCTCACCCCTCAAGAATGTTCACTGTTGATCCCCCCGGTGTCCTATGTGTTTTTCAATTGAAGCGCCCCTCCCGGGGCTCGCACCGTGTCTCTGGGCACGGAGTCGTTGTGTCCTCAGGTCGTTCGCCTAATGAATGGAGCCTCGGTCCTCACTCATGAGGGGTCTTTTAAAGGGGCCCGGGCCCCAAATTCTCCAAAACGCCCAAGCGTGTCGCGCGCCCCCTGGGTTCCAGGAAGTGTTCTTGTATGACTGCTTTCGGGCCCGAGGGGACCCGAATACGGGCCAAAAAGGCCCCACGAGGCCCCCAAGTCGGTCCAAGAGCACCCCAAGTCGCCGAAAGATCGTTCCAAGACGTCCAAGATAGCCTCAAGATGGCCCAAGAGGCCTCTACGACGCCCCAAGAGGCATCCCAAGAGAGCCCCAAGAGGCAAAGACCACTGATGTGCCTTCAGTTGTTGAAGGATTTGTGCGTTCTCGCCTTTTCGGTCTTCTGGTGCTCCAAGACGGCCCAAGAGCCACCCAGACCACCCGAAAGGGCAAAAGCGGCCTCCAGGAGGGCCAGAGGACGGCAGGACGGCCTAAAAGCTCCCCAAGACAGCTCAAGAGGTGCCCAAGACGGCCCAGGAGGTTCCCAAAACGGCCCCAACGGGGCCCGAGAGAAGGAATACGAACCGAACATCTGAGCCTTCCGCCCCATGAGGACGCCAGGAGGCCCTCCAAGAGGCCACGACAGAAAAACAAAGAGGTCCAAACAACGGCCCCACGAGGCCGCCAAATTGCCTTCAAGAGGCCCCCCACGAGATCCCAACGAATATCACATAAATTTCACACCCACAGCCCAAACACGGTGGCGGGATGGGCCGAAGGCTATCAGATCCGGGGCCCCACCTGTTGATTTATCACAAGGGGGTGTCGGCTCATTGCGCCGGCCACCGTGGGAATCTCCTTGCGGGGTGGTTTGTAAGGGTTTGCCCCCCCGATGGCTCCAAGATGCCCCATGATGGCTTCGAAAACGGCCAAAATAGCATCCAAGTTCAGCCAAGATGGTGCAGGATGGCCACCTGGACGGGCCAAGAGGGTCCAAGATGCGTCCAAGTCCACCCAAAAAGCTTCCAAGACGACCCCAGGGGCTCCCAAGAAGCTTCCAAGAGAGGGCCCGACGAGAAGCCCAAATCATTGATTTCCTTTAGGTGTTGAAGATTATGGTCTTTGCGTCTTTTCGGCCCTCCTACACAGCCCAAGACGGCCCAGTAGGCCCCAAAATTCGCATCAAGATGGCCCCAGAGGCCTCGAAGATGATCCCAGGATGGCCCCAGAGGCACCCAAGACGGCCCCAATGGGGGCCTGAAGACGCCCAAGAGGCCTCCAAGACGCCCAAAATGGCCGCCAAGACGGCATCCAAAACAGCTTCCGACAACGTCAGACGGGCAAGGACCGCCCTAAGACGGTCCAAAGAGGCCCCCCCCCCCCCCACAGGCCCAAAAAGGCTTCCACGAGGCCTCCAATAGGCCCGCAGGAAGCTCCCAGGAGGCCCCAAGTGTCCCCTCCCTCCTCCTCCTCCTCCTCTCCCTCCTCCTCCTCGGCCTCCTCCGCCTCGTCATCCTCATCATCCTCCTGCTCTCCTCCACCTCTTTCGAAACCCATTCGATCTAGGCTCTGTAGCGCCGCCGCAACGCTGCAGCCTCAGGGCGCCTGCTTGTGGGCGCCGTACATCACCTCCTTCTGCTTTGCGTGGAGCACCCCTCCCTGCGGCTCGCGAGGTGAGGAGTGCTCCACCTTCTCTAGCGTTTGTCTTCTCTTCCCTTTGTGAGCCGCTGCCGACCTGGTTGGTCGGCGGCTGTGCCTCGCCACTCGCGCGAGGCGGCGGCCCCTCGAGGGTGCCTGCCATGGAGCAGGGTGCTCCATCTTCTCTTCTTCTGTCGTGGGGTACATCTTCGCTGGGGGATTCGCTGCCTCACGGCCCGCCCTTCGGCCACCCTTGGGCTGCGGGGCGCCAGGCCTAGCTTTGCTTCTCTTATTCGACTGGTGATCGCTGCCGTGCCGTAGCAGTTATCCTGTCGTTCTGGCAGCCCGCCCTTCGGCCTGTTGGCTGCGGGCTGCCCATCCTCGCATTGATATTGTCGTTGCCGTCGTAGTCCTCATGGGCGCCCTCCGTGCAGGTGCCATTGACGCCGCTGTCTGGCGGCCCGCCCTTCGGCCGCTCATGGGCTGCGGGCGCCCAGTCTCTTGATTCACTTCTCATCGCGGTGGCCACTGTGTCGAAGCTGCTGTCATGTCATTTCGGGGGCCCGCCCTTCGACCTTCTGGCTGCGGGCTGCCATGCAGGTTCATGTTCATATTGCCGCTGTCGCTCATCCTCTCGGGTGCCGTTTGGCTGCTGGTGCTGCGGTCAATTTGCCATTGGGCGCCGTGCTCTCGGGCGCTCCTCAACCCCGCCCGTGCCGAAAGCAATGTCCGCCGCTGGACCCCCGTGCTCACGTGGCGACGTGTTGCCTAGTAGCCGCAATGGCACACTAGGACTTTGCGTTCTAACACCCTCCAGCATACGTGGCGACTTCGTGCCTAGTAGCCCTGGTGACACACTCGGACTTTGCGCTCTCTCGTATGACTTCAGACCTCGCCCCACGGCGTCCGCGATGACCACTTGCGTGCTCTGACCCCCTTCACGGCATAGCGTCTCGTAGTCGTGCCTGTGGTGGCTGCAGCTTTGGTGGTCCTCGCTATGGTCGCCGCTGATATTGTCGCCGCTGGCGATGTCCTGCTCCTGTAAGTGGCAGAGGTACCTATCGTAGCTGGTGTGCATGTCGTTGGTTGGCGCTGCGCTGGCCACCCTGAAACCACATCTTGCGATGATCATCTCGTCGGGCAGAGAGGCTGCGGCGAAGTCGAAGTTCTCGGCGGCTGCCTCCTTCATCTGGGTTTCCTGTATGGGGCTTGCTGAGTTGGCTATGATCATGATAGTGCCAAGCTCGCAGTGTCTGGCCGTGCTGAACGGTGCTGCAGTACGCTTGGTGGCGTGGTGACCCTCGGGAAGCGTCCAGAAGATCGAGTCCCCGGCGTGTGTGACAAGGAAAGAAACCTTCGCCTCGGCGGCAGCGTGCACAGTGGGGAGGACTTCTCTTGTGACTGAGTTGGCTGACTAGGGCTCGTCAACTACCTTTTCCGTGGCGTCGGCTGGCCCCTATGGCGTTTCCTTCGGGCGGCGGGTGCTGGCACGGTCGACAGGGTCTTTGGCATGGTCGAAATGGTACCAGGTCCTTCTCGGCATCTCGGCATCTATTGCTGCGATCTCACTCTTCAGGTTTCGGTCGCGTATGAGATGTAAGTCACGATCTGATGTCTGCCCTTCGCAATCGTCGCTGCTGTCGACCGTGCAGTAGCCCAGGCCGCTCGCGCTGGTTACTGCGCTTGTAGCGATGATCTTTTGGAAGTCTCCTGGTTGCCGGGGGCGGTCGGTGATGAAGACCACTTCCTGTCGCTCGGCTGGCTCGGGTGTCTTGGGTGCTGTGGGTTGGTGCTTCGTCGGCTGGATGGCGGCGTAGACCTTGGGGATTATGGGCGGCGTCTCCAAGATTGGGAACGGCGTGATGTTGATCTTGTAGGCTGGTATCTCGCTGAAGGTCGCGTGTCGGCCACTCTTCTTGTTGGCTGCCGTGATCGTACCGATGGCGCTGAGGTTGTCGGCGATTTGCTGTTCGGTGAGCATCTCCATCGTCATGGTGCGCCATGGGCACCAGGACTTGCGGCAGCGGTGGGCTACCGCAAGATGCTTCAGGGGCCTCGGGAATATGTGGAACTCCGTCTGGCAGCATCTACACGCCGTACCCGTCGCCCATCGCCGGGGGTTCTCGCTGTCGGGGTGGCCCCTGCTCATGTGCGCCGCCATGGCCTGCTTGGTGGCTGTGCGGCCGCAAACGTAGCATATGTATTTCATCTCGTCGATGCCGTCGGTCTGGTCGGTCTCTGCGGTGCTCGAGGAGGTCGCGGGCATCTGGGCATCCTTCTGGAACCTCTCCAGCTGGGTCTGGTCGCACATATAGAGCAGGTGTGCTGTGGTAGCTGCCTCAACCGAGTTGGCGAAGTGCTTGGGCTTCTGGCGGGCCCAATTGATGATGTCGCTGTCATGCTGGTCCTTGCCCGGCCACCTGTCTCGTGGGAGGTGGTTGCGGAAAAAAGGTAAAGTCCTGCTTGATCATGTGGCTCCAGGCCCCCTAGCGCTGCCGCAGACTGTCAAGAAATTGAAATAAGATCGCGGGCGCGTGGTTCAGGAGCCGGGGTAGGTAGCGTAGTCGAGCTGCCGTCTGGTGTGTGTCGAAGTCGAGAACGCCTGTCTTCGCTCTCGCCTCGCTGGTGGCGATGTGCTTATCTGGTGTTTTCGTCTTGGGCAAGGAGGCGGCAACTCGGTAAGGACCCATGTAATTCGCAGCGATGTGCTTGCGGTCCTTCTTGTTCAATCCATTCCAGACGTGGTGGTGGTAGGTTAGCGACGAGGTCGAGAGCGCGTGGGCTCATTTCAGCTTGGCCTTCGTCGACAGCTTCTTGCGGCGGAGAATTGCTTCTCCATGGGGCGTGCTGATCCACGCGTTCTGTTGACTCTGAGGCAGTCTTCGGGGCCCGTGGCCCCGCCCGCCGCGACGATGGCCCCGAGGGCCTTCTGCTGGGTCACAAGCTGCACATGGGGAGGCCCTCAAGCTCGATGAAGGTAACCTTGTCCTTGGCGATATTATGGCGCTCCTTTCTGGCCCCGCTGCCATAGTGCATGACGATGGATTTCGTCTTGTCTGGGTGCGGCTTAAGACAGTGCTGGTATGCTGCAGTGCACAATCTGGTGGCTGGAAGTAGTGTCGTCTGGATCAGGTCGCTGGCGTTGGCGGTTGAGTTGTAGTCTGAGGTCGTCGACGAAGGACACGTTCCCGAGCGCGCTGCCCTCGTGAGGCACCGCCAAGAATAGTGGGTTCTCGCGAGCGTCGTTGTCGTTGCCACCTGCTGGTTGGTTGTGATCTGCGTCGGCGGTCGCTGCTTGGTCGACGGCCCTCAGCGCGATGGCGAAGTGCGCGTTGAAGGCAACGTCGGAGCACGGCGCGCCAGACCGAGTGCTGGCCCGTGGAAGATGATAGTGCTTGGCGCTTTTTGCCGACATCCAGTTGGAGGCGTGGTGGTCGGCGATCACGTGCAGAAGAGCTCGTAGTCGATGTGTTGGTGGTTGTGTGCGGGGTGCTATGATTGGTCGTTCAGTGGGGGCTTGAGGAAGTCAGGGATGTCGATCCGTTCGATGAAGTCGCTAAATTCGTCGGGTGATGTCGGCAATTGCACGCAGAACTCCCGGATTACGGAATGGAAGGAACCCCTGACATCAAGGAATGTTATGCTTCAAGATCTCGAAGACCAGGGAATTGTGGGTGATAAAGTCAGTCGTCATCTTAGGTCGCGCACCGCTCTGCGCTGCTTTCAACAAATTAGATAGTCGGCCCTTCGCCCGTGAAAGTAGAAAGCCGCCGCGCATCTTCCCAATGGTGTTGTGGAGCAGGATGTCCGATGTCTGCTGTCCAACAGCCCCCTGGCCCTTGTGGAAGTGACTGGAGTACCCGCCCATAGCAGCGATGGGCTCGGTGCCCCCGATTTGTTGCTTGACCAGGACAGGGCGAAGAAATCGGGCCGCCCCTTCGGGGTCTGCTCTGGACATGTCGTCGGCGAGCTGGCCCGGTCCTCCTCGTCTTCCTCGCTTGGCAGCGGCCAGCTGGCTAGTGAGCTGGTGCTTCGGGATGGTGTTCTGGATATACAATGCCGGTCGGGTAGTGCTGGTTCCCATGTTGTAGTCTTCGGCTACCCCTTCGGCGTCCGTGGACTTGCTCATCTCGATCCTGCCGTAGTATAAAGGGGGCGTGGTCGGCGATCTCAGTCTAGGTCGCGAGAGGCTTGCCGTCGCCAGTGCTGCGAATGATAGGCGCGGGCGGCTTCTTGGTCTTTCGCCCTCCGAAGGCCAGTGGGCGCTCGGCGCGCAGGGCCTCTTGTCGCGGGGCGTGGTCGTCGATGGCGGTGCTCATTTGTTCGGCGGTCTTCTCGAGGAGGGCGTCGCGATCTTATTCGACCCACTTCTTCAGCAACGGCTTAGTCGCTCTGAGGAACTGCACGATGGTATCATGGTAATGCTTAGTGCTGTCTGTGCGGCTGGATGTCGCTGCTTCCGCTCTGGACGCGGCTCTGTCTGCTTGGTCACCGGGGAAAGGGGTGCCGAAGATGACGTAGGCAGCGGTGATTTTGGCGTAGTCGTTTGTGCTGGCCAAAAGCCTAGCGCCCGCTGGGCCAGGGGGGGCATGGCGTCGCGCGAGAGAAGCTTCGCGGCGTGCGGAAGCGCTTCGCGCCGTAGAAGTTCGCGATCCCGTTGTTCTTCGCGACGAGGGTCGCCCTGAACAATGGGCGGCGAAGTCGTGCAAGAGCGAAGGAGCGCTTCGTGACGTAGGGCTTGTGTGGGGCGCGGCCGCGGGGGCGGAAGCTCTCGCGCGCCGCCTTCGTTATCTTCTCGGTGATGGTTGCGGGGTGATGGTTGGTGCTGGTGTTCCAGGGCGGGTGCTGGATGTCCTGGAGCTTCTGGCTGAACTCCTCGCGGCGGGCGGCGTCGGCCAGTTTGGACACGTCGAGCTTCGGACCTCCCTCGGCAACCGAGGGGGCGATCTCATCTGCGGGCCCCAGCCTGTCAGGGTAGTGGGCGCCCTTGGTTTCAGGGTCGCAGCCGTTGTCGATGCCGCGCAAGACGGAGCACGCTTCAATCAACTCCAAGTATCCCCTCGGGACGATGACGTAATCGATGCGGTGGGGTTGCTTGCCCGAGCGCCACGCGCGGTGCTCGGGTCCGTTGCGGACAAACGTGTTAGCGGCGACAAGCTGATTGGAAAAGAACAGATCGTGGAGGCGTCTTCCGTTAGGATCCTCTTTCTGCTGCGTGCCCTGGTCGCCGATCGCCGTGCTGGCGACGTCGCCCGTTCTGGCATTGGCCTACCAAAATGATTCAGGCCTGGTACTTCTCGGTCGCCTCGGTGAGCCTCTTCCAATAGCTGGTCTTCTCGTCCTCGAGGTCTTCTGAGCGGGGGGCGTGGGCGACGGCCAGTAATTGGGGGAAGCCAGGTGCGCTCATGCGGATGATGAGGAGCTTGGGGTCCTTCTCGATAGTGGCGAACTGGCCGGGCTTGAAGAAGAGCTCTTTCTTGGCGCGCTTGCCGTGGGGCTTGCTCAGGGGGACGTGGCATTACTGCAGCCGTGGTGGCGCCCCCTGTGGCCGCTGGAGATGACGCGGTAGCTGTTCGCGCTGGCGCAGGATGCGTCGCCCGCCTCTCGGCATCGCGCATGCCCCATCGCGCCCTGGCCTCCTGGATGCCGATGACGCGTACGTCCTCGTTGCATAGGCTGGCCATGGTGGTCTTTAGCCTGTGGGTTTTCTCCGTCCGTCGCTTCGCTCCTTCTTCAGCTTCCCGACCTGTCTGTATATTGGAGGTCGCAATGTTGATCTCAATCTCTGCCTTCCTGTCGCTGGATTCGGTCGGCTCGTGGAAGTGGCGTCCTTCGGCGGCCGTCTGGGCGTTGCTTGCAATGGGGTTGCCCTGTCCGAAGGTGGGGTGAGCCCCCCTGGTGTTCTGGTCCGCATCGAGCAGCAAATCCCAGTCTCGCTGGGCCGTCCATTATGCTCGCCCCCTCTTGCTGTGGAGCTGGAACTGCGGCGATGCGAGCTCGGTGAGCGGCCGCGTCGGCGACTTCGTTCCATGGGGTTGTGCTCGCGTGCGTGGACGCGCCGCAGGTCTATCTCCTGGCTGACCATGTCGTAGAGGACGCGGAGCGTCCTGACAAGGTCGGGGTCGTGGTCAGTGAAGGCCATCCTCTTCGCAAGCTGCAGGGCCCCCAGCGGGTCGGTCGAGATCGCGACGACGTCGTCGGGGTCGCGGTGAACGGCCCAGGCGAAAGCCCATGCGGGCGCGGCAATCTCGACGGTAGTGGAAGTGGTTTCCCTGTCGCGAATGTCCTTCTCTGCGACGTCGGTGCTGCTCGTGTGCTTCCCAGCGATTGCTCCTTGAAGCGTGAAGCTGGGGTCGCCATCCCCGACAATGATCACGGCCCAGGCGTCGTCGTTCGGCTTCTTGGGTTGATTGGAGCCGTCGGTAAAGAGGTGGATCCATGCGTTCGGCGGCAGCGGTCGCGGTGGATGGTGGCGCAGCATGTACTCGGCAATCTCATTGCGGCCCTCGTCGTTGAATTCGAAAGTGAGAATTGGGTGGTGTGTTTGCTGCAGCGTATGTTTGATGGCGGGCCTGGCGTCAAAGTCGACTCGGCGCTGCTGCAAAGGTGTTGGTGATGTTGGTGGTATCTGCAGATGGTCGGGTGGAAGTGGTGCGCTGGCAGTAGGTGACCGAAAATATGGAAGAAAAAATTAAATCGGTTTCCCCTTCGCCGTCCTTGTTGCGAGCGCTTCCGTCAGAGTCGGTAGTGGTGGATGGTTGAGTACGGTCGAGGCGGCTACTCGGAATTGTCGTCTGGCTTGGCACCTTTGGGATTGTCTCGGGTGGATTGTTGGACGTAGGGGTTCGCTCTGGGTATGAATATCGGGGCATGAGTCTCCGAAGTCGTGGCCGAGGTCAACGGTGACGCCGCCAGTCAGGTGGGGCGCGGTGTAGTTATTGAGATCGAGTCGTTGGGCCGCCGATGTTGTCGCGCTGTCGACAGTGGGCTTGGCGGCTGGATGGTGGTTGTAGTGCTGAAGTGGGGTGTTTAGGTGTGTCTCTTCGATGTATGGGATGTCACGTGTGTTCATTCCGTTGCTGAAGGCTGCAGGTGGGCCCGATGGATGTCTGAGAGGCTCCCTGGAACGCAGGAGTGGTGGGAGCTGGGGGGCCTAGGCGGCCCGGCGCCCGCGGGTCTCCGCTGGTCGCGGGTCGGTCGGGCACGATGGGGCGAGGTGCCTCGCCCCTCGCTGGCCGCGCATGCAGGGGGGTGGGCGCCTCGGGCTCGAGGGGGCCTGGAAGGCGCTCGGAGTCGTTGCTAGCCCTGCCCCAAGCCCAGCCAGCTCGTCGCCATGGTGCTGATCTTCGCGCAGCACTTCAGCTGGAGGCAGTCGATGCTGCTGTTGCTGCTTCAGACCTTGCTGCGGCTGGCGCCGGTTGACC